GGGGGGCTTATGGGGGTTCAGGGGCGCCCACGTGGTTACCTTCCTGGAGCTTGAGTGATGGCTGCTGGGTCGGGAGCAGGCATGGTTCTCCTTCCCGCGGTGGATCGGGGCCCGGCCTACCTCCATATGGCATTTTTAAATAAAAACAGTTTTGTTGCAGTACTGGGGATTGAACCTACAGCCTTCACACTGAGCAGCATCCCAATCCCTGCCTGTCTTCCCCTTTTTAATTTTGAGACAAGGTCTTGCTAAATTGCTCAGGCTGCTCTACCTTATCTTGAGTGATGGCTGCTGGGTCGGGAGCAGGCATGGTTCTCCTTCCCGCGGTGGATCGGGGCCCGGCCTACCTCCATATGGCATTTTTAAATAAAAACAGTTTTGTTGCAGTACTGGGGATTGAACCTACAGCCTTCACACTGAGCAGCATCCCAATCCCTGCCTGTCTTCCCCTTTTTAATTTTGAGACAAGGTCTTGCTAAATTGCTCAGGCTGGACTCTACCTTATGATCTTCCCTCCTCAGCCACTCAGAGTGCTAGGATTACAGGGATGTGTCACCACTTCTGGCTAGAAAAGAGTTTTTTTTTTTTTTTTTTTTTTTTTTTTGCACTGGGGATCGAACTCAGGTCCTTGCGCTTGCAAGGCAGGCACCGGAACCACTGAGCTAAATCCCTAGAAAAGAGGTTTAACATTTAATTTAGGAGGTTAGAAGTCCATACAGCAAGGTGCCAGCCCTAGTGTGGGTCTTGCTGGCAGTGCAGTGATAATGAGGATGGTGTCACTGTGGGAGTGTGACAGGGGACAATCGGGTGGCAAGACAGGAAGCAGGGACTAGAATGGGCAGCCCATCCTCAGGGGAACCAGATCCCTCCCTGAGGGTGGCAAGGGCCTCCAGTGACCCAAAGATCTTCCATTAAGACCACTGGACAGCCACGGCTACCCTGTAGCAGAGTGTTTACAGTGTGCAAGGTAAAGTTGAAGCATGAAATTTTGGGGGAGGTATTGATCCTTCTGTGCAGCCCATGGAGGCTTAGAAGGGCATGGGGCAACACCCTCAATCCCGAAATGTGTTAGCTGGTGTGAGGGCGGGCCTTCATTCTGTGGTGCTGTAGAAGAATTGATGGCTAAATAGAGTTTGTACTTGCAGAACTTTGTGGCCAAGGCTCATGGCTCTTCGCGGGTTTACTGGCTGGGGCTGAATGACAAGGACAAAGAAGGCAACTGGAGGTGGCTAGATGGCTCCCCTGTCACATTAAGGCAAGTGTCCAGGGATCCTGGGGTCTCTCTACCTACTCTGTGGGCTCAGCCGTGGGGAGACAGGAAGGTGGCAGGATATGTGGTTGAGGGAGTCAGAACTAATTTTCCTCTCTCCTCCCC